TTCAATATCACTCCACTTATCACCGTTATCACAGTTCACTGCTCTTCCCATCCATGTTTGGCCGGCTACTTTGCAAATATTGTCTCGCCATCTCATTTTCGGTCGACCTCGACTTGTTTTTCCGATTCTAGGTTGCCACTCTGTGCACCTCTTCGCCCAGTTGTTATTCTCCATTGTTGCAATTTTTCTTGTCCTCTTAATTTTCCTTTCCTTTGCACATCTTACAAAGTCTTTAACTTTCGTTACCTCTCTCAACCATTCATTCCATTTCCTCTCCCGTAATTTTACTCCTACCATCAACCTCTCCATCCTTATTTAGGATACTCCCATCATATTTTCCATTGTTTTTGTTACTGTCCATGTTTCTGATCCACAAAACATCACGGAAAGAACACACTCATTATACAGCCATCGTTTCAAAGCCATTCCGACCCTCCTATTAGTGAAAAATTCTTTATATTTGTAGAATGATTTCCATTGAAATTCGTTGACAAGTACTATGAATGAATGAATCGCATGCATGTGACAATCGATAGATAGAACGTTGATTTATTGAAGGTTATTTTTGTGTCGTTTTCGTCGATAATCTGATCGTTCCGTGTAGTTTACTTGTGATCACTCGAACGCGTGTCCTCATTCCTCCAGTTTATTCCAGTTTGATTATAATCACGAAGAGGATTTCCCATTTTATCGTGTTTACTATCGATTAACTCAGCAGTCACTCACTCAGTTGCCTTGTACGAATGGCACCAACCACATCATCATCTAACAAAAACATTCGTGAGTAAACTAAAAACCATTCCATTTGATAAATTCACTTTTGCAGTATCATTTCCAAAAAATTTTTCTCCAAAGTGCATTCGCGAGTAATGATTGTTCGAAGCGTTTTCACAGATTTTCAGCTGTAAACAAATAGTCAATTCAACTCTATATGGCAATATTCAAGTGATTGGAAATCCGATAGATTTCAAAAAAAAAGGGATCAATAGTTGATTATGTTGAGCTGATATGAGCAGAGTTTGATTGATTGATTGAGTTCGTGAATTGGCCACCTATTTGCAGGGGTACTCGTCACTGGTGCGTCTGGTTTCGTTGGTGCACACTGTGTTCAACAATTGCTCAAAGAGCGCTACACTGTCAGAGGTACGGTACGCGATGTGAACAATCTGAAGAAGGTGAACCCTTTGAAGGAACTCGAAAACGCTGCCGAACTGCTGGAACTGGTTGAGACGGATTTGAATGATGACAAAGGATGGAACAAGTAATCAGTTTGGCATTCTTAAAATTGTAGTAATCTTCAAACCGAAAAAAAGCATTTTCAACACCTCATTTACAATCCACTTTGTGCAATATAACGAAATGGTCTTACAATTAGGCAATTTTCGACTGTCTATTGGCGTTATGTATTAAAATTCATCGCTTATGGTTAAATTCTGCAGATGCCAATTAGAAAATGCTTTCCGATCTTCGGAACCTCTTAAATATTATTTGCAACTGACTAATTCTGCATTTAAGTCACTTCAAGTTCAACTGTACTTGCGGATCGATCAAAAACACTTGTGACTCGTTGATATTTGCCGATATTCAGTGATAGCAGAATTTCACATAGCCTGACTCATTCACGCTTCACAATTGATTGCTGTCAATTTCAGTGCTGTCAAAGATTGCACCTATATCCTTCATGTGGCCAGTCCCTTTCCGACAGTTGGCGATGAATCGTTGATAAAGACGGCCGTTGAGGGCACCTTACGAGTGCTGCGAGCAGCCGCTCAACAAGCCACCGTCAAAAAAGTCGTTCTAACAAGCTCAATTGCAGCCATCCACGGTGATTGTTGATTACCTTCAGAGTCATTTGCAGTCTGTGTGAAAAGATGTTGGAGATTTTGTTAAGTTTAGTGTAGAGAAAAGTGAACAAACGAAATGTTACTAACTCCATTAATTCAACAAACAATTGCTGAATTTCCTAGCTGAGTAGTGGAACTGAATATTGAGTTGTTGGGAAAAGAGAATTTGAAACTTAACAATTCATGCGATTAGATAAAATGCGTTGATTTGAGAGGGTCACGACGACATGAATCGAGTGTTCACTGAGGAAGACTGGACAAATCTGGACTCAGAGTCACTGATGTACTATCCAAAAAGTAAAACACTGGCCGAGCAGGCAGCTTGGGATTTTGTGAACAATGGCAAAGGTACGATAATACAGCGCTCCCGAGCAGTACTCTTATTCTGTCACAGTGATTAGCTACAAATATGTAAATGTGCTATGTGAATGAGGAAAATCTGGCGAAAAGATTTTGAATCACTTTTGTGGAAACAAACTTCGATCAGTGTTTGTGCAGTAACACTCTCTGATGAAACCACTAAAAAGATTTGAACCGTT